TATCGCATCACAGCAACATGTGACATGATACACTCATCGTAGCAAGCTGAAATTTTCAGAGTTTATTGTACATGGATTGAAAAAGTTTTTACAATAAAATGAATAATGAAATACAATTTTAATTTTTTTACCGCCCTTCAAAGTTGAGGGATTGAAGAGATTTTTCACAAAAAAATGAATTTAAGATTTTTTGCGATGATTTCTAATAAGTTCTGTTAAAAAGTGACATAATCATTGTTAAAACCAACTAGCTCATCTCAGGAAAAAATCACAGCCCTAAGCCTAATAGCTTAGTTGTAATTGCGATTGAAAGTTCATTATCCCGTTTTTTTTTTCGAAATTTCACAAAATTAAAAATACCTCCTGTACTATAAAATTTTGGAGCAAACATGTAGGAGTTAATTCGATCGGTTTTCAGGCCCTCTATCACCTGACTCCGTTGATACACTACTATATCTATAGCTATAATACTTAGAACTCACCCTGTATATACTGTGCTTACTTCAGATGTACTCTGAGCAGTAGCTAGAAACAGATAATGAGCTGAGAGTTGAAAAAATCTTCATGTAAAAGAGCAGAATCATATCCCTCAAGACCACTGAACACGATTTCAGCTATCCACAAAGTGAACCGAGCGAGACGTTGAAAATGTAAGAAATCCCAGCATGAAATTAGGAAAAGTAATTTGGTTCGTTTCAGTAAAAAGATCCCCTCGTGTCTTTTTCCTCAGTAAGGAGGAATTCCTCTCAAAAGCGTAAGTTCTATACAAAAACGGTTTACCTGGAAAGTTAAATTAATTTCGATTTAAGTACAGCAGTCCGCGACGCGTTCGAATTTCCAGAGCAGCCAGATTACTTACTTCAACTCCCGAATAGAGTTAAGAAAACATTGATAAACTTTGTAGACGATGTAGCTTACTTTACATATAGCTACAAGTCTTCCCGCATTTTGCCTGTACGTAAATCGTTGTAAACTTGCCAACATATTAGAGGTGTGCTCAAACTTCGTCCATAATTTTGGCGGGCTTTGGGTAGGTTATTGTCAGTACAGAAGAAGCTGCTCCACTTAATTAATAATTTGGTGAAAAAACTTTACAAACTTAGGTTTTTGGCCATTTAGCGGCTGCTTCATATCATCACAGTTGTTAGTGTTGCCGACCAATAAATTCGAAAAAATTAGGAGCCAAGCCTATATGCTTACATTGCATTGTTTGTTGCCAAAGTTGCGTAGATTCTGTGCATGCTTTTAATTTATTTGCCTACCATTGCCTACCAAAGTAACAACATTGTATCAACAAAATACAACGACGTACAACCTTTTTTTACAAAGGATATTTAAGTAGCTAACTATAAATACTGAGTATACACTTGTGCGGCAGGATAGAAATACTATTTATGCTGTGATTGTGAATCCGGGTTAAAACTGGAATAAATTAAACTAGAGTTGTCGAACGTTACAAACTTATCCCGGTGCCCACAAAATCCTGTCTGCGATTGCCGTCTAATTGCTCAAGGACACACTGCTTGAGTTGCCCAGCTTAGCACGGCTGACGTTGCCAGATGTTCGATACTTTCAATAAGGGCAGGGAAGAGGTTATTGGGTTGCAGCGATATCAAATTACAATTACAATAACAATCATCTTAATTTGCGAATATACTGCTTTACATAAGCTGTAAACCATTTGTGATACAAACAGAGTCAACCAAACAAAAGTAACAACATCTTGCTCTATAGCATATTATTCAAATCTGTTATGACAAAGTCATCGATTGTATATTTTTCTAGATTAAGGGCCGTATCCTAAGCCGTACAACTGTATGACGCCTTTATGGCCTTCTTGATTTCCAGTCTTTTCGCTATTTCAATCTGGGGTATTTAAGGATTTCTACTCTTCCGTGTCAGCACTCTCATAATAAAATAAAAAACAATGCTTTCTTGTTGCATTGTAGGAAACTTCAGGCTGATAAAACGGATGATGAAAATTAAAACCATGAACAATTCGATGCAAATAGATATTTGTAACACAACTTTAAAATAAAGCGCCGTTTTGAAGGATAGGAAAAACTATGAAAATCAAGGAGGCGATAAATACAATAATTGTAGGAACGACTGACAATACGACCTCTAGTAATACTTTGTATAATATTTTTTAAATGCACTTAGGGTGGATATCACCAGCATTGTCAAACCAATAGTTCGTTATTTTCCAACAGTCTGTCAAATACAGCGAATGAGCTTCAACATCCAATCGACAAATTTTAGCAACCAATAGCTATGGAATGTTGAAAGCAAAATATTGTCAAAGTATGATATGACAGCTTGACACTGAAACATCACCAGCTTATTGAAGATTAAGAAATTACACAAAATTCAGACAGAAATGTTTGATTTTTGAATAAAATTCATGTTATTTCCAATACATATTTGCACAAAGATCTATTTGCATCAAATTGTGCTTGCTTTTGAGTTATATCATGTTTTATCAGCCTGAAATTTCCTACAATTTAAAAAGAAAACAGATCTTTACAATAGGAGAGCGTTGACGCTGACACGGGACGGGTGCAATCTAGAAATTTTTAAGGGAGAGAAAGGAGTGTAGGGACAACTGACGATACGGGCCTTAGAAATACCCAAATGTATGTCGTAAAGCTACCGGCAAACCTAAAACGTGAAAAAAAAACTAGAATTTCTTATCATTTCACTGAATACACATTCTAGGTTATATTTATTAGACATTATTTGAATTACAGCTGATTATCTTATCTCAAAACTCCCCAACAAGTGATACATGTGTGAGATCCGTCAACGCTTGGTCCCAGTGGAGTAAGCTCCCTCAACTGTTGAAATATACTCTACTGTGCTTCATAAGACTATACGAGGATTTTTTCCCAAAATCGTTGCACAACACTTGGAAAAATGCAAGTGAAAATTTAAAATTATTTCCATGACGTCCCAAATAGCTCCGTCGGTACCTCCTACATCTTGACAGTAGGGATGTTAGATACGATCCTATATTTAGATGTATCGATACTTTTGTTTCCCGATATTTTGGATCGATATTTTTATATACGACACTTGGGTGTATCGATACATTTCACGAGAATCGTTATCTTTCGATCCGGACTTTGTCAGAAAGAGTGACTTACTTCAGATTACTTTTCTCCTTTGTTTCCTTCCGCTAAATATCGATAATTTTATTCGCAGATTTTAGAGTATCGATACTTCCTAAAACGATAAACTAAAACATCCCTAATCTTGACAGCTTGTCATTCTTGTCAACTGGGCTGCGGGGTGCGGTGTTGCCTTTACTATTTTACATTTTAAAATCTTATGAAAAATAGAAGCTTCAAATGAAATATTGACGAATATGAATGAATATGGATGGAATATATATTCATTTTGCAGGTTTCAGATTGTCTATGCTTGAACTTGAACCGAATGCTTCGGCATTTTTACCTAAATATAGAAGAAGAGGGAAATAGAGAATATTTACCGAAAACGTAATCTTCCACGATTTTTCTAAATAATTTAAATATTTCCATACTTGCCGAAAAAGAACTGAGACCAAAAATAGAGCTAAAAGTTTTTATGTAGTTTTCGTGGTTTTATGCCCCATATCAATCATACATATACTTTTAGGCAATCGGACACATGAGAGGCGTAGATTTGGGTTGCCTATGATTACGAACGCACATCCTCATCCTTTGCCCTGAACTGATTTTTGTTTATACAATAGGTACAGATCGTTAGACTACCGTGTTTACCTCATCACCGGACAATCAATAGAGAAACCGAACCCTGTCTGTTTCTAAAGCAAATATTTAATCAAAATGTGAGGCGAGTTCATGTGGTCAGGTGTAAAACAGAAAAATATTCAAAATCCTATAAGCAAGAATCAAAAAAGAGTTTCTATAATGATTTTAAAGTACTTTGAAAGAGCGACCAGTATGCACATTGTACAAGTTGTAATATAGAGCTATGCCCTTAAGAAACATGTTGTGTGCGAGCTTAATACAATAATAAACGTTTTTCATAGACGGCGCTGCATGTCTCAAAGGTCCTTGATCCACCACTGATCTTGGGATGGCATTTTCCTTATACCGGATTCAACGAAACTATTTACCGATTCCGTTTTTTTTGCCGGTTCGGCAACACTGCAGATCACTTCAAAAGCAATTGATACCCCAGACGTGTTATAATAATATAAAATAAGAAGAGAATATAACAATGTTTGAAGATATATTTTCCTAAATAGGTATTTTTGATTCTGACTTATAATATCTAGACGACGAATAATAATAATAGGTGGATAGGATACATTTACAAATATCGATGTTTTAGGACCCAGAAACGCAGAATGTGCTGTATTGTTTACATTTGGTGTGGATTTCTAGATCATAAATTGGCAACAATTGTTTTTGATGTTACAAAAGATGACGAACCAGTTAGAATACATTTTATCGCCTTTTCTTGCAAAATAACGAAAATAGGTACATTTATACAGGTACCTATTATGTACAACACCCTGTACGTGATATACAGACAAAACTAGATTGCCATGTATGAACAGTCGTCAAAAACAGTGAAAACATCCCATTAAATATTATAGCTAGAAAATCGACTTATTATTTCTCACATTTTCATTGGTTCATTCAAGTGTGTGAAATGATAAAAATTTGAAATTCTATGAAAGTTACCCTAATTGTAAAGCTGAAATACATAATATTACATATATGGTTTTATCACGCTTTTGATTAATATTTCATTAGAAATCACTGATACTCAGAGAGCTTTGACAGCTTCCGTCAAATTGCATTTTGATAAGGTATTTATTTTCAAACTCACCGTCAAATACTAATGTTTGAGAAGTTGGCTCTAAGTCATGCAATATTTTAGCTATTAGACAGCTGCAAGGCGAGAACCAAGAATTAATCAGATCTTTTGATTTCTTGAGTAGCCAGTGGGAAGAGAAAAGGAAAAGGTCCAAGGTATTGGAAGAGATGGTTGGAGATTTATCCAACGATAACCAAATGCTTAGGAAAGATGTTGATGGATTGAAACTCACTCTTAACAAAGAGGAATCTAAAAGGTTGGTTAATAATTTGTCTATTACCGGTCTTGTTACTGAAAATGATGATAAAGAGCAAGCAGTGGAGAAAACTTTCTCTTTATTTTCTTTTCTGGATACACCTATCTCTCGGAATGATGTAGCTCATTTTAAACAAGTTCCAACCAAAAACGGCGTAAAGGCTATAGTTACCTTGAAGCCTGAAGATAAAAAGCAGATTCTTACAACTCGTTCCAAAAAAGGGAAACTAACACTTAGGAACTCTAAATGTGGTGATACGGATTCTAGAATTTTCGTCGATGAGGAGCTGACCAAGGAAACGTACCAGTTATACAAACGCTCAAGGCAACTTGATGGTGTTGGCTAGAAATATGTGTGGCATCGGGGAGGGGAAGATTCTAGCTCGCAAGAATGATGGCTCTGATATTATTTTCATCCGGAATGTTAATCAAGTAAATGACCTGCTTAAGTAGACTTTTATCTCATTTGCTTTTATTGTTTTTTTATATATATTTTCCATTTGTTGCTTGATTTTTATAATTTATCATGGCTAGTACGAATCTTGAAGATAATTTAAGGTTAGGACATATTAATGTAAGATCACTGATACCAAGTTTGGACGAAATTAAGTCTTCGATAGATAATTTGAAGTTGGACATATTAGGAGTAATAGAATCATGGTTAACTGAACAAGTTAGTGAAGAGGAAATTAAAATAAACGATTTTGTTTTATCGCGTTGATCGTGGGTCTCGGGGAGGTGGAATAGGGGTTTATGTTCGATCTGATATTACAGTAGTTGAGATAGATGTAACTGAGGACCAGAGAGGAATTTTTGAGCAGCAATGGCTTATTCTCAAAATTGGCAAAATAAACTTGGGGTTGGGCATCATTTACCGTCCTCCTCGTTTTAATGTGATGACTGCTTTACGCTAACTGGAAGAATAGCTAATTTAATTCCAGTGACAGATGAATTGATTATAATGGGGGATATTAATATTAATCTATTAAGACATACTAACATAACCAATCAGTTTAATAATTTGCTTGATACTTTCAACTTTAAGCAAGTTGTAATTAACCCAACTAGGTACTCCCGAGATACAGCCAGTTTGATTGATGTCATCATCCTGTCCGATGATCATCTCTTAAGTGGCAGTGTCCATCATCAGGACTTGCATCAGCATTCCGATCATCAGCTCATACACTGATCAATAAATATTAAGATCTCTGCCATTAGGCCTAGAGTTATTGAATATCGTAACTTTAAACACTGACATTTATAGCTTCAAACCAGATCTTATAAACGTCCCTTGGTGGCAGGTTGTAGACTGTGATAATGTTAACCAGAAGACTGCAATTCTCTCAGATATGATATTGACTCTTTTTGATTATCATGCGCCAATATGTGAGAAAAAAGTTACCAGGCCACCTTCCCCGTGGTTTACTGACGCGTTGCGTGCGATGAAGAATCACCGTAACTATCTTTCCTCTAATTACAAACGTACTAAAAATTTACGGGATTGGGCATCCTACAAAGAAATGAGGAATTATTTTACGTCAGCAGTTCGACAAGAAAAGAGAGCTTATATTGATTTTGTCAGTCGTACTAAAAAATCCAAAGACATGTAGAAGACACTAGACCAACTTAATATTTATATAGGTCTAATAAATATATAGAAATTCCTAACCATCTTAAAAACCCAAATTTAATTAATCAATATTTTATCGACTCGGTGCGACAAATACCTAGCACTGTCGATACGAATACTATTTCTAAATATCTTAATTCCATATGTACAACCGCAGAATTTGAATTGAAACTCGTTAGTGAAGATAACGTTTTCTGGGCAATATCGGAGATTGAGTCAAACGCCCCTGGTGCAGACGGAATTAGCCTTGACATGGTGAGGTTGTGGTGTCCAACGATCTTACCCGTGCTGGTTAACCTATTTAATACCTGCATACAAAAGGGCATCTTTCCTTCCCAATGGAGAACGGCTGTGGTCCTGTCGCTGCCTGAAATTAGCAGTCCTAAGTATGTCTCTGATTTGCGACCAATTAGTATACTACCAGTGCTGTCTAAAGTATTTGAAAAGCTTATTTATAGGCAAATCATTACTTACTTCACAGATAATAATTTATTACCCAAGTTGCAGGCTGGATTCCGTAAAGGGTTTGGTACTACCACGGCTCTGTTGAAGGTTCTAGATGACATTCTTTTGGCTGCGGACAGGGGTGAAACTTCGGCATTGGTGTTGTTGGACTTTAGCAAGGCCTTCGATACCCTGAACCATGCATTGCTGTGTGCAAAACTTTTCTACTATGGATTTAAACTTAAGACTATTCAACTTATTCGTAGTTATTTGGATGACAGATCGCAGTCGGTCTCAATTGATGGGCTTAAATAAAAACCCTTGAACGTGGATAGAGGAGTTCATCAGGGATCACTTTTGGGTCCTTTATTTTTTATCATTTTTACTGCTGATATGTCGAAGTGCTTTGGTGATATAAACAATCATAGATACGCTGACGATACACAGAGTCAGCTTTCTTTTGCTAAGTCGGACGCAATTGAAGCGGCTAGGAGGCTGAACGAGTGTTTGGATTCACTTTTTAAATACCCTTTTAATCATGGCTTGAAATTGAATCCTAATAAATCAGCCATAATCTACTTTGGGCCAGCTAAAGATTGGGCGTCTGTAAACTTGGTGATAGCAATGGATGGTGTGGCAATACCGGTTGTTGAGGAATATAAAAATTTGGGCGTTATCTTTGATAACAAGCTTAGATTCCGAAGTCATGTGTCTAGGCTTCTACAAACAGCCTCTTTTTACCTTCGCAATATTTACAAAAGTATAGATATTCTTAGTTTTAAGTTAAAAAGGTTCTCTGCGAAGCACTGGTCTTGTGTCACCTTAACTATTGCAACTTTGTGTATGGTCCTTGCTTAGATGTATTTACTAACGATACGCTCCAAAAAGTGCAGAATTCTTGCATACGACTTATTCACCAGCTTAGACGTCACGATCATGACAGTCATAAACTTTCCGAACTGAAATGGTTGAATGTTTCCAATCGAGAAAAGCTGAATTTTGCTTGCTTTCTTCATAAATTGATTAAAACTAAAAGCCCTCCATATCTGATTGAAAAATTAACTCGTAGAAATCTGATTCACTCTCGTGCAACACGCTTTAATGTACTTTATGAAATACCTAAAATAACTAAAACCATGACTCAAAGCTCATTTTCCTATACATCAGTCAAACTTCTAAACCAATACAATATAGGTCAATTTGAAGATATGTCTCCTAATATGTTCAAACGAAAACTGAAACAACTGCTTCTGTGAAGTATAAGTTGTTTATTATTGCTTATTTTCTTTGTATACGTACATCTGTAGTTATTATTGTTCATTGTTGTTATGTAATATTCTGAAATTAATGTAATGTAAAACTTGTTTCTTGTCATATTACTTTTCTTTTTGGCTTGTTGTTACTTTTTATATGCTCCGTTAAGTTAACAGCATAGCTGGCCTTCGCCGAGTTTACAATAAAGGCGTTTTTATTTATTTATTTATTATTTATTTATTTATATTTTCCACCGCTGGTTAAAAGTTTTAGACAATTGTAGCGAGGCCCTTCTTCAAATTACGCCAACATATGCTTAGGACAAATAGAGTTAAAAACTATAGTATGGATACTTGTAGGTTTATCAACAGTGAACAATCGCCTATTTTCAAATAGGTATATGATACACTCTTGAATAAGCTTCCAAAAAGTGCTAAATAGCGAATTGATTGAATTTGAATGATACCCAGCTTTCAAAGTTTTTCTATCAAAATATTTAGAAACAATTCTTATAGAATAACACCTTATTGAACTTATTTCTTAAATAACGTATATGGTTGTTCCACCTGATGTAACTATTCAATTCAAGAGCAAGTGATCTAGCACTGTCAGACACTGTAATTGTACATTTAAGATAAACTGAATATTAGAAACTTGTTCTACAGTGTGCTTTTCGAGAAAACATAGCACAAGTCTTAGTTTTATTAAAAACTAGCCTGCTATTAAAAAAACAGTTTTGTAAATGGGTAGAAGTGTGGACTAATTGTATGAGTCTCTTTGGCTTACTTGATACATTTATATCCTTTTCTGTGTTATTTCGTAGTTACCTGTCTTCTTTTAATGATAATCCTTTATGGACTAATGAAAGCGTTACGTTCCAGTGAATCTACTTAAAGCCATTCTTTTAATGCTACTAAATATGTTTGTTCATTACGAGTAAATACTACAGGGATTATTATATTTTAATTACATATACTTATCTCATTATTTTGATAGCTTTTGCTAGGTTATTAGATAAATTGGAGTATTTGAAAATAAATGTTTTTGTAGAACACTATCACTAAGTCTGTGATGCAGACATTGCATTATATCCATTTGACAGTGTTGCCGGACGTTAAGGAAACTCGGGAATCTCAGATATGCTATATTTCTATACATACTTGCTGAAGAAGGTCATTATAGCCCTTGCATGTTTCCTGGCCCAAAATTGCGCCAAAAATTATTTAAGCGATTTTAGACAAATTCCAGAGATTTTTTTATCCACCCCGCACAAAGAGAGGAGCGGCCGCTCACGCAGTAGATTCAGTAGCAATTAAAAACAGAAAGGTGTACAATAATAGTACCTTCTCAAATGCTTCCAGATTTTGTTAATATATGCTTAAGGAAAATTTAGGAACTTTGGAAATATTAAAATATTCATTTATTCATATTGTTTCGCGGTGTCGAAGATGCCATCGTTTGCAGTCTTTCAAATACTAAATAGGTTAAATCTGGTAAATTACCAAAGGATATAAAAAGACTTTGACCGAATAAAAAATCAATTTATGGAACTTTTTAGAAAAATAAACGTCAAGTAGATTGACTCTATGCTTCCTACATCTTCGTTGGAGGTTTCAAAGGGAAGTGATGAGCCAAGTCATTTCAAAAGGTGAAATTGAATCGTGATTAGGTATATTCACTTAGATACGATTAATCTTCGACTTCTATATGTCAAATTATATAAAGTAAATTTATCAAATTTCTGTTTCCATGGCAGATGTACACAACATCACCGCACCAATTTTTGCCGTGTTGCCAGTCGTATACTTTGATCCCAAACTTCATAACAAATTTCCTATCATACAGCCCTAAAACCGCAGCCAGTTATATTAAAGCAGAATGACGTTTTTCAACTAATTGCATTCCACGGTTGTTCTCCACAACCCTCGACTACACCAAACTCACCACATTCCGGCTGCATAGCTCATTATCACTCCCCATAGAGCAACAGCGATCAGAATCTTGATAGAGCAGGGATGTCAGTGGTTTGACCGTTTCGCCTCCAAATACAGTAATTGGCTAATTCCACCGCAGGATTTGCAGCATCCAAATATAGCAGACAGTTCAGCAATCGAGAATTCTAATGGTTGGTTGGCACTGGTTAGTTAGAAATTCACATATACACATGCTGCAACAATGCTTTTTTATACTAAACTTAATCTTAGCCGAACTGAGAAAAGCCTCATCATGTAGATTTGTTCTCTATGTTGACGCCATATGACAAATGAGGAGTCATAGCGGCAAGTTCTTGATGTACGAAGTTCTACAGAATTAGTATGGGCGACAGAAGCCTGGCAGGCCGCCTAGTAGGATCAACATGCCCTGGCTAAGGTAAAAGAGAGCCAGATCTCTGACCGACCGTCGGTGTCAAATGGTCCCGAAACTGTCCTTTAGGGAAGTGCTGTTGATCACCAGGATGAGCAGCATCGAGTATAAACAATGTAGTTGGGACGGCATTACCCCAAACATGTGCGTAGTATTTCAGGCTGGGTCTTAACAGAGATTTGCTCAGGCTCGATAAGGTTATGTGGCGAAAAGTAGTTATTAGACCTAATCCAATGATTTAACGTTTTCTAGTAGCTGTTGCCATTGACGAGATGCGGTCGTGCAATTTTTCGGTGATCTGAAATCCGACTAACCGGAGTGGACGTCGCTTTGGCTAAGCTCGGTCATCAATTGGTACCGGATGAACGCTCTTTGTAGTCAATGTATAGTTGCTACCAGCCTCGTTCTCTCCAGGTTACCAGCAGAGATCTGATTACCACACTGAATGCCTGCGTATAGCGCGCTGTCATTCTCAAACCTATAAATCTGATTGATCGTTCAGGATAGGAGGTCATTGATATTTTTAATAGAGATAAGGTAGCAGACAATTATAAATAATATAATATAATTATCTAGCTCAGGATGATTTCAGGGCTTTTAAAACTCATAATTTCACCTACCCGCCTACTGGCTGGAAATATTGTAATTGGAAAAGTATGTCACTCACCTCCGTAGGTCTGTTGGTCTGTGCCTGTCGGTCTATCGGACTGTCCGCTAATCTTTGGACTGCCTATAACTTGAAAACTTTTGGAGTTGGATGAAATATTCACATAACCTTGCTACAACGTCAAAGACGGTAAAGCTTCATAGTTTTTGAAAAAAGGTCTAGTGACGGCGGCAAAAT